AAAATACCATTAGTACACCCTACATAACTAGAGAAAACATACCTAAACTTCATCTGAAACCAAGAAAGACAAGAATAACAAAAACAAACAATCCTGGGCAATAAAGGCAAGGCAAGAGGCATCATAATCGCTCACTTGAAATTATGCTACAAAGCTAGCTACTGTGATAAAATCAGCATGGTACTGGCAAGGAAAAAAAAAGGATATGAGTATCTGTGGAACAGATTAGAAGATGCACACACAAATAAAAACACAAGCAGGCATCTTATCTTTAACAAAGGTGCCATACATTGTCACTGTAAGAAATATAGCCTCTTTAATAAATGGTGCTGGAAAAATTGGCTGTCCACACACTGAAGACTAAAAGTAGGCCAGTGCCTATCATCACTCACTTAGGTCAAAATAGATCAAAGATGTAAATATACAAGAAACAATCTACTGGAAGACAAGTAGGTAGAAATCTTGCAAACATGGGTTAGATCGTTCATGAACAAAAAACAAACTTCATGGGAAGTACTTCAAAGAATCAATAATTATGATCTCATCTTATTGAATAGTTTTGCACACCAAAAGAAATCACCAACAAAGTTGAAAGAAAACCCATGAAGTAGAAAAGTTAGCCAACTGTCCCTCACACAAAGGACTTCTATCTACAATATATAAAGAATTTAAAAAAACTCAGTCCCGCATAATTCAAAAATCCGATCTAAATGGGCAACCAAGATGAATATACACTTCTCAGAAGAAAAAATACAAATGAGAAGTTAATATATGAAATAATGTTCAACATCATTGGTCATTCAAGAAATGCAAATTAAAACAACACTGAGTTTCCATTTCACCTAAGATAGAATGCTTGCTGTCAAAAAATCAACCATTGACAAATGCTGGAGGGCCTGTGGGGAAAAGGATCCCTTCTCCACTATGAGTGGGAGTAAAGACTGGTACAACTACTGTGCAAATCAGTGGGGAGATTGCTCAAAAAACTAGGATTAGCAATTCTGTTGCACTCAGCTATTCCCCTTCTGGGTATTTTTCCAGAACTGAAAACATCATACCACAGCGATATATATGTGTGTGTCCATATTTATAGAAGCACAAATTGTCATAACTAAATTTTGGAAACAAGTCACATGCCCATAAATTGAGTAATGGATAAAAAAGGTGTGGTGTTTTTATACAATTGAGTATTGCTTAGCTTTAAAGAAGGTGAACTTGAGGCTTTTATAGGTAAATTCATGCAACTAGAGACCATACTCATAAGTGAAGTAAATCTGACCTGCATGTGTAAACATTACATTTTCTCCCTAGTGTAAGAAACTGAAAAAGCAAGTAAAATCCCTAATGTACAAACACTTGGGATGGAGGAAGGAGAAAAAAATGAATGAAGGAAGAGAAAAAGAAGATATAGGGGCCAGGGAGATGGCTCAGTGGAATAAGCACTTCCCTGGCAAGCTCAAGGGCCTGAATTCAATCCCCGGTTCCAC